ACTGTTCTTCCTGACAATAGTGAGATAAACAAAAGGCCATGTCCTGCACTCAGCTGCCCATAGGGCACCCTTTGAAGTTAAGAGAGTGTCTGGGGCAAAACCTGATAGCAGGATATAGTTCTCTTAGGGTCTAACCCAACTCCCATTAAACTCTGGAGAAAGAATCCTGTTGACTTCAGTAAGTAGGGGTTAGATTGGACCTTTAAATAGTCCTGTGTTCTCTAAGAAATTAGATTTCTCTATTACATAATTAAAAAGAACTATAGTCAACGCTTCTTACTCTGGTGGTGGTAGTAAAAATCTACTGGAGAGAGGTTATAGTTGCATACAAATGTCTGTTAATGGTATTCTCTGTCCTGAATAGTATCTGGGTCACTTCCATTCAGACCTGTCCAACTATTCCCACATAATGTCTAGCTTTCACATGTTTAAAAAGAATTACCAACAAAGTTTTAAAAAGTCACTCCAGCAATTCATTTTAGTGAAATACTAATTGCAAAGTTACTTAGTACAATTAATAACATACTTTTACTTTTAATTCTAATTTGGAGGACATTAAAAAAATCAGTTAAATACTATTTACTAAAAGAAGCACTTTTTCATTGGTCACTGTTCAGAAAGCAAGTATTCCTTTATAGTAAGTATATGACAAGATAACATACCTGTGCACTCAGTGCTAAATTACCTATAGAAGTACTACATTATTGTTAGTAGTATTTATTTTACTTAAAACATATAAACAATTAATCATTGTTAAGGCCCAAACCAGCAGAAGTATGTGCCTGGCTTTTATGCCAAATGTGAGTATGGAAGATGATGTTCTAGTTGGCTACTGTGTCCCTCTCTGACAAACAAGCTGGACATATTTTTGATGGATTGGGCCCTTTGAATGATGTCTACATAGTATGATAAACAGATGAGTTTATTTTATTAAACAATACACCATAAGGGGGAGCAGACAGCTATTTGTGAACAATCCTGCTACCTGTAATCCAGATTACAATACTAAGAACGTTTTAGCTCTAGTGTCTGAACAGAGAGTTTGATTAGATATCTACAGTTTCAGCGCTGGTAACATCTCCCTCACTAGACAAAATACAAATCTGCCGTTCTCACCACTGCCTTCATCAAAATGAGATTTTTTGGGGGGAAAATCTTAGCCCTTCACCATACGTGGAAAATTAATGGAGGGGAATGAAATAAATTAAAGGGACACTGTCAGGTTAAAAATAATATTTAAAAAGTAATTTCTTAGCTGTATGGTCCTAACAACAGATTGGGGGCCTGATCCTCTGAGGTGCAAAGTGCTCTCAGCTTCAAGAGACACTCCCAGCACCACAATTTTATAGTTACAAAGGAAAGAATTTTCTAAACTCTCATTTACTTTCTAATATTTATGGGTCAGATTCTGTCACCCTTACTTGACTAGTACCTTATTCTGCAGGTAGTCCCACTGATTCCAGTAGGACTATTCATGGGGTAAGGTCCTACTAAATTCATAGATGCTAAAGCCAGAAGGGGCTAGTGTGCACATCCAGGCTGATCTGTTTAGCCCAGGCCATAGAACTGCCCCCAAAATAATTCTTACAGCAGATACTTTAGAAAAACATCCACCCTTGATTTAAATCTTGTCAGCGATGGATTAGTAAGGAACTAGAGGCGGGAAATGAAATTTATACAGCTCTACGTGGGCTTATGGAAAATAGATCTTACAAGTTTGGTTGATAAAGGTAATAGTGTTGATGTAATATACTTAGACTTCTGTAGAGCATTTGAATTGGTATGACATGACATTTTTGATTAAAAACTAGACTAATATAAAATTAACATGGCACACATTAAAAACTGGTTAACTGATAGTCTCAAAATGTAACTGTAAATGGGGGATCATCATTTTCATCAATGATCTGGAAGAAAACATAAAGCAATGATAACATATGTACTGTATTCGTTTTCATAAGAAGTAATTACATGTCCTTCAGAGGAGATATTAAACTGAGGTCCTTTCTGCCCATGTGAAAACTGAAGAACTATGCAAGAGATTTACCAAAATGGGCTAGATCCATTGGCTTCAAAGGTGCTACATTGATTTACACCAGTTGAGGATCTGGACTACAGAGGGTGTATGCTCACTATACCAAGTAAGGTCAAGTCTTCATATTTACAGAGTTTACCTCTGTTGTTATTGGTAGAATGAGTCAATTTCTCTCAGATATATGAGTAATAGAGATCTAAGAACAGATACAAGATTTATGGACAGCTAAATTGCAGTGAAAGAGATCATGAATGATTAAAGGGGTTTTTGCAAAATAAGATTCACTATGTCATTGTGCATGCCAAGTCCTGGCATCTATTATTTACTTTGCACTTTGGCAATTACTGCAGGGAAAGGTCATGATCCCTTGAACGTACTGTAGGCTTATAATTGAGAAAGACAACTAGCTAATGCCTGGAAATGCAGCTTTGTACCACGAGAACCAGGCCTAACCTACCTGCTAGTATTTCAAAACACCTTTCCCGCCATGGCTATGCCAAGCCACCATGCTGTGATGGACTTTTCACAGGTACCAACCCCACCAGGAAGAGCTTCTAGGAAGACTGTCATAGGCCTTCCTCATCAATTAGCAATTCTGGAAATCCATTGCTGTCTAGCCAATGAGCATTTCTGAGACTCCATTGACATTTCTAGCACTCCTATATTTTTTTTATTTTGAGGTGGGATTGGCACTTTTTGGAATGGCATCAAAATCATGGTAGCCAATATATGTAAAGGTTAAGAATAGCAAAATACCGTCTTTCATCACCTTTGAGTAGATGAGTAGTTATGATAACCACATTTTCCAGATACTATCCAGCCTGTCTACTTGAAATATATTTAAATAAAAAATGCTTTATAAATTATAGTTTTTTTCTTATTTCTAAGATATTTGTTATAATGTACCAATGACGTACACAAACAACAAAAAACTCTTCTTCCTCTTTTTGCTCTACAACATGCAAATACCGTAACATTGACAAATAGTGTCAATTGGCTAACATGTATCTACATTAACAGTGGCTGACTTGAATGTGTTTTCAGATGCTTCAAAAAGGTTGGATGCACTGCTTCAGTTGCTGTTGTTTTATTCTGCAGTTGTTTATATGAGACACCAGGGAATAATTCAAAGCCCAAAGATAAAAGTTTCCCTAAACTTTCAAAATTCACTGTTAAAAAAATCCAGCCTCATTTAAAGATATAAAATAGATAAAAGTTTTATGGGTTTTATTCATCTGTTTAAACCCCATTTTCTCATCCTGACAGACTCCTCCTAAAGAGTGGGTGGAAAGGGCCACTTTCATTTAGATGATTTGGTTGAGAAGGGTTTGACAGTCAGTTGAAGAATTTTTCAGCACATCCATTGGAACCAGCGGAATGGGGCTATTTTGTTCGCACACAACCGTCTCATATGGGGGGGCAGCCTCAAAAGTGAGTGCTGTCAAAGAAATTGATGAGATGGGCTGCTGCAAGTCCTGCAGTCTGACTGGATAATTAGAAGACCTTCCTGTAGTCCCAGAGGCTGCCTCCTCTTCCAAGCTAATGTTTATAGACAATTCATTCCTTTGACAAGGATCTGTCAGAGAATACGGTGGAGGATCATCTGTAGGAATATAGATTTGTGTCGCTCCAGGCCCAATGCACTCATCGTAGCTGAAAGAAAACAAATTCAATATTAGGTGTGTGGGCAGAATATATCAGACAGTTGTGTTCAATGTAAAAGAGGCAGGTAAAATAAAGGGGAAGCGATTATTTGATATTCCCTCCTCCAGGCTGCATCCTCGACCTGCCACTTTGGAAACTTAAGAGCATGAAAACTTAAATGCATGTCTGCAAAGAGGTAGTGGAAAAAGTCAAGCTAAGCATCAGAGTCTCAATGAGTGTTCAGGCCCAACCCTTTCTGGTAGTGGTAGCACATAGTAACACCTCGCCTGGCATGAGCCAACAACTTACCGCAGCCCTGAGAATTATGCAGCCTATTTTTTGTTTTATGTGATAGTCACTGTACATATACACAGTAAGAGACAGACCCTGCCTTGAATAGCTTGCAATCTAAACAGGCAAAGCAGATAATGGGTGGCGGGAAAAGAAGTATGCCCATTTTACAAACAGGGACTTGAGGCAGAGAAAGTCAGGCACACAGAGTCTGTATCACAGCCAGGAATTGAATGCTGGCCTCTTGAGTCATAGTCCAGTGCCATAACCACAAGAATATCCTTCCTCTCTTTATTTTCCCCATTGGACTAGCTCATTTGTGCTGGCCTGGAGGTGCAGAGGTTAAACCTCCAGCCATTCTGTCTCTCTTCCCTGCCCACCTGCTTGTGTAGAGGAAGGAGAGCATCACGCATGAATTTCTAGTGTGACCATGCTGGGGTTCGGTGTCTTACTCCCCCTTAATCCCGTGCCTGACTGCTTGAGGGTCAATTGCAATCTGTCCCCAAATAAATAGGCTGAAATTTCCTGTCCAAACCCCATCCTGCTCAACTGAATTGCCAGCCAGTTTTGCTGGAGCCAGAAACATTAAGAATCTATTTCCTCAATCATATTAGCATCTGAGAGATGTCACAGGCCACTTCCTGAACAATGTAATATTTAGAAGGGGCTTGATTCTGCCACATTTACTCATGGTGAAGAATACTTTTGTCCATGAGTAGTCTTGTTGATTTCAATGAAACTGCTTGCGGGTGTACGTATCCTATTCAGAATGAACAAGGGTGGCAAAACTGGCTGCAGCAGACAAAGGATGGAGTGAAAAAAATGCAGCCTGCATTGCTAATATATCTGGTTAACAAACAGCTCATAAATCCAGTGGATGTTTCTGTTTTTAGCTTCATGGATTGTCCCTTTAAGAAGAGGCAAATGCCTTTAAACTCTGAAATTCAGATTTCCCTATAAGAAAATAATTGTTTTGTTTTAACTTGTGATCTTTACACCTTGAGCAAAAATTCTGTTTTTTTTTTTTCAGAAACAAAGCCGAGCAGATAAAAGGTTGAGTTCTTTTCATATGTCACTTGGAAACCAACTTGGTCCATTCCTTATTAATCCCACTGAAGCTTCCCAATGTATTTGATTTTCCGTTCAATAAAATCAGACCTTGAGCTAAAGATTAAGAATCTGATGCTGCAAAATGCCAACTCCCAGTTAAGTCAATGGAAGTGAAAGCTACTCAGCACCTTGCAAGGTTGGACTTTTTTACAGGTATTTAGAACAGCATGTTTATTTTGAAGGATACAGAGCCTGAATCAAAGCCCTTGAAGTGAATGGGAGTCTTTTTGATTGCAATAAGCAACAGAGAGTCCTGTGGCACCTTTAAGACTAACAGATGTATTGGAGCATAAGCTTTTGTGGGTGAATACCCACTTCGTCAGACATATGCTTTTTACAGATCCAGACTAACACGGCTACCCCTCTGATTTTTGATTGCAATGGACTTGATGGGGCTGATAGAGTTTCTATCCAGCTGCAGGTGTTTGAACAGCTTCTAAAACACAATCCACGAAGCAAAGAATAGCTCCAGGATACTACCTGACTGTAAATTGACACAGCTCCATAGATTTCAATTGGGTTACACTGATTTACAAGAGCTATCGAGCCCAATAGCTTCTCCAACCGCATATCTCAACTCATGTCACAAGAAGTCATCTGGAGCCCATCCAAAGTCTACTCTCACTCTCCACCAGCCCCAGTATCTCAGCCCTCTGCATAAGGGAAAACAGACAGCCTTTGCAGGGGGTATGTTTGAGTTATTTCAAAGCAGCCGTGCAAGGGGGGGGATGAATAATCAGGTTGAGGACCTTTCCCAGCGAACCACCTTCTGGCTGATCCTCCACTGTTATAACTGTCAGTATTGCACAGGAAGAGGCAGCCTCCCAAATAAGTGGGTCCCAAGATAGTTACAACTTTATAGTCAAAACCAACCCCTGAAATCCTACCCAGAAACCAAGAGGCAGCTAATGCCGATCACAGAGCATGGGTGTCCCGTAGTGAGAGACTTGGTTTAGCAAGAAGGTTGCCTCAGTTTTCACTGCAGTGCAAGGTAGAGTGGATTGCAGTGCTGAGGACAGGTCGGATCAGGGCAGTGAGGGAAAGGTTTACATGCTACTGACCAGACAGAGAGGAGAAAGCAGCAGTTCTAGTGCCTGACTGAAGTCATTGTGAATTCTGACATTGACTAAAATGGGACAGGGCACAGGATCAAGGCCCTAGTCATTGCTATTATCTGATCATCAAAATTCCTTTGCTAGGATTCAAAATCATCTCTTTTAATATCTGTGATGGATTGTAGCGCAGCTCCGTAAAACTAAAATGCTGAGTGGGATAAACATCAAAATGGTCCTTTGTGAAGTAGACTTTAAGCAGGCTTTTAACCATCAAAATGAAACAGAAACAAAATGACCATAGCCAACACTTGCTTTTCAGTGTATTTTATGTAAAATAGCAATATGTTGTTTCGCTATATATGCTCTGGAGAAATTAAAAACAAACAAACAAACCACCACTGCAGATTCAATCAACTTGCTTTTTTTTTGTAATCAGGATTACATTTTAAAAATCTAATAGGGAACATTTGCCAGGTTTTTCAATTAAATATCATTTTGGCACTCTCAATGCTGAATTCGCAGATTATCATTGCAACGCAGGCAACTATAAATCATTCAAAGAGTGTGTTTTTACTCTGGAAGCTAGAAATACATTGTTGTGTTTCATTTGCATTTCAGGGTCTTGATATTAATGTTGAATTAGTCTTCTCTGAAAATTTGTAAGTGTTCAGTATATAAATTGTTCTTGGCTAATGATGGTGCTTCATTAGCTTACAATGCACAATTAACCCTGCAAACAGCTATAATTATTATTTATCATAGGTGGCGCAGGTAGTGATGCCAATAATTGAATGCCCATAATTTTCTATTATTGGATGCCGAGAATAAAGAGAAATATTGAATAGCTACCCATTCACTGAGCACCATCTGTCCTGTGCACTGAATGAGGCAGGGTTTTGAGGAAAGAACAGTACATGCTTTATGCACAAGAGGGCCAAACAAAGATTACACAGGCATTTCCTAACTTTTGAGTGCTTGACTTTGCAACCATAACTTTCTTCTCATGCAGTTTTTTTTTGGGGGGGGGGCTGTATTGAGGTACTGCAGTAATACATATAATAAAGCAGGGGTTGGCAACCTACGGCACGCATGCCAAACAGGCACACGAGCCGATTTTGAGTGGCACGCAGCTCCCTGCTGCGGTCCCGGCCCTCAGCCCCACTCGGCCCCCAGCCCCACTCAGCCCCCCCGCCCACCGCTCTCCCCTGTGGGGGCAGGAGGCAGAAGCTTGGTTCTGCGGCAGCCAAGCTTCCCCCTCCCCCTCTTCTTCCCCCAGTGTGGTGCTTTCCTGCCCCTCCTCCTCTCCGTTCCTGCGCCAATCAGCTGATGGCCCTAGCAAGGGGGAGGTGGAAGAGCGGCAGCGTGCACACAGCTCCGTAGAGGATGCAGAGAGAGGTAGGGATGGAGCCTGGAGGAAGGCGGTGGAACAGGGCATATCCCTCCCAGCCCCCTGCCATGAGCCACTCAGGGCAGGGGGCTGGGAGCACCCCCAGAGCCGAGCCTTCTGGCCTGCACCCCCCCACCCCTCTGCCCTGAACCTCCCACCCCAACACACAGTCATCCCTTTGTCTTGCACCCCCACAGCCCCATCCCTCTGCCCTGAACCCCCCACACACATTCAGCCTTCTGCCCTGAACCCCCCACACCCCAACACATACCCAGCCTTCTGCCCTGCACCCCCACAGCCCCATCCCTCTGCCCTGAACCCCCCCACACTCAGCCTTCTGCCCTGCACCCCATGTAGCCCCCAGCCCTCTGCCCTGATCTCTGAACCCCCCCACACACCCCAGCCTTCTGCCCTGCAGCCCTCGCACCCCCCCAGCCCTCTGCCCTGACCCCTGAATCCCCCCCCAAGTCTGGGGTCCCGGCCACAGGCCCTGATCAACCCTCTGCCGGCTTAGGTGATCGGAACCCCAGGCTGGCAGCGAGCTGAGCAGGCTGGTGGCGTAAGATCAGCATTTTAATTTAATTTTAAATTTTAAATGAAGCGTCTTAAACATTTTGAAAACCTTGTTTACTTTAAATACAATAGTTTAATTCTGTAATATAGACTTATAGAAAGAGACTGTCTAGAAACGTTAAAATGTATTACCGGCATGTGAAACCTTAAATTAGAGTGAATAAATGAAGACTCGGCCCACCACTTCTGAAAGGTTGCCGACCCCTGTACTAATGTATGCAATATCACAGGTCTGACTCATTCTTTACACACACTAACACACAGCCCCCGCTCTAAAGAACTCACACTATATGAACGTCATTCTGCAAACCCTTAGTCATGAGAGTAGTCCTTACTTACAGGAGTAATAGATCATCTCAAATGAGTGTTGCTAACACATTTATTCCACTCCACACAGTCATATTTTTTGGGTATGCCTCGTGTGTTTCACAAACCATTCCTCCACAAAGAGTTTTTAGGGAGTTTAAAGCAATTGAATAGGGATTATTTCTTGCATCTTTCCACCTGCAAAGCCAGTGCCTTAGTTACCATCAGTCACACTGTACATGGCACAGAGTAACAAACTCCTCTAAATATGATCTTAACGAGCTTTTTTTAATACATCGAAAGGTCACAGTTTTAAAGTCAGATCTATCAGGCTCTTCCAGGGTTAGAACTGAGCACTGGGTCCTATTGGAAAGCTGCCTTTCCCAACAGCCCTGCAGAGGTTGTGAGATGATGTGTTTTAAAGCCATGAAGTATTTATGTATGCAAAGGCTGTCAGTGGCCCTGGGCTGAATCTTCCCCTATTCTTGGCCTCTGGCTGGGGTAATTGTGGGGTGAAGTTCTACATTTGGAGACAGAAAATGGAACAGACCCCTCCACTGTACTGAAGGCTGCCTGGCATTGTCAGGGTAGGCCCTGCTAGCTTGCACCTCTGGGCCACCTGCTCCTTGGCTCCTCGCTTCCTGCACTCCAGCAGACAGACCCACAGAGGAAGGAGGGGAGCTGCCCAGCCACCAAGGCATTTTAAATAGGGGTGGGGCAAAGAGGCATGAAGTTACTGGGCTGATACATTGTTCATCACACCAGAGAGGTGTGGAGGGACATGAGAAGGGCCAGCCTTGAGCTGGGGGGAGTCTTTTTATGCACCTGTGACAATGGCATTGGCTCCATTTGCCTCCAACTGAAATTGCTTGGCTCCTACTCTGCTCCTTGCCCTAGTCTCTTTGCTCCATGGAGTGGATTGGCTCTGGGACAGAGAGGCATATGGTGCTTCTAGGTCCAAGAAGACAGTGGGTGTACAGCAGCAAGGTACGGAGACTCAAGCAGCAGTAACTGGGGGAGGAATGGCATGAATGTGTGTGCTGGAGTGGTATTAATTGGGTTGGGGTGAGGAATGGGCATCTTTGTGTGTGTGTGTGTGTCAAGGGACGGGTTTGCATTAATAATAGCTGACATATTGTGTATGCATGTGTAGCTGCAGTAACTGAGGAGGAAAGTGGGCACCAGTTTGTGTTTGTGTGTGTGTGTTTGTGTGAAGGGGGGGAGGGAATAGGACTGCTGCATTACTGAACTGGGGCAGCCTAGGCAAGGGCTCCAAACGCTCATGTGGGACCCCTGTGCACTGTTGCCTGTCTTGCTATAACTGACAGATTACAATGTTTTTAAAGTGTGAAACTTGTTTTCTCAGTGTGTGAATTCAGTTTTGCAGTCTCTAAGAGGTTGATTTTTGGGGAGGAAGGCTGCTACAACTCACAAAACTGGTTTAATTGATTCACATTGGTGAGAAAACACCCTTAAAACCAGGCTTTGCATTTAAAAAAAACACTATAATAAGTCAATTATGGTGGAACATACACTAAAACTCAGGTGTCACATTTTGGTCACTGGTCACACATTTTGATGACTTGTGTTACACACTGGATGTTTTGGAGGCTGAGGGTATGAGATGCAAATACTTCTATGTCAGGTTGATTAAAAATTGGTGGTGGTTTGAAGCTGATGGGTGGGTGGGGTGTGTTGGAATGGCACAGCAAGTCCTTGGGAGATGGATCCATGGGCAGAGGGTAGATGTGGTGGTCAAAGGTGCATAGTAGCTTCTGCAGTTTATTAAACAGCTACACAGAGGATGTTTACAAATTTATTTTCATTAGTTTGGTACAAGCATGTGGGTCGCTGTGGTGGGATTGGGGAAGGACTACATTAAAATCTTCCATTGTTGTTTGCAGTGTAATTATAGCCATGTTGGTCCCAGATATTAGAGAGCAAAGGTGAGTGAGGTAATATCTTTTATTGGACCAACTTCTGTTGGGGAGAGAGCCAAGCTTTAAGAGCTCTGTGAAAGCATGTCTCTCACCAACAGAAGTTGGTGTAATAAAAGATATAATGTCACCCACCTTGTCTCTCTACATTATAATTAGCATTCTCAAGCTTGGCTCTATTTATCCTTTTACTTCCCTAGTAAGACAGTATACATTTCATTTTACAGCCATCTAATTAACTATACTAAGCTGAGTCAGTGCCCGTTCTTGATATTAGCTGCCAGTTCTATATCTTAACTAAACTTGAGATGGTGTGTAGGATTTGTCAAGAGCTCAGTTCACTCAGACCTCAGTCATGCCATGCATTCCAACTCACTTTTCTGCCTGAATCAGTGTCAAGGTTCTTGTTTGTTCTCCCCAGAGTTCACCTACAGCCAGCATTTAAATTGGTTTTTTAAATGTTAGCAACAAAAGTCACATTATTCTTGGTGCTCTTGTTCCATTTATTTTGTAGCGTAAAATGTTTTACAACATTCAGGTTAAACAGAAATGTCAACAGCCTAGCAGTCTAACTAGGGAAGGGTTGAACTGGCTTGAATAGAATAAAAACCAGACTGACCCTTAGAAAATGGAACCTGGTGTTGATTAAAAAGGGTGGTTAATATTTTTCCTGGTTGTTTTCATTTTTGTGTTCCTTTGCACTTCCTGCTTTTCCCTGGGATTCAAAGTGGAAATACCCCACTGGACTGTGTTTGCATTCTACAGTGGCTACCACAGGGGAAAAAAAAGTCAATGTGTACCACATCAGTGACATCCTACACACCTTGTTAAAGGACAGTATAAAAGAAAAAAATGTCTATTCTCCTTTTAAATAAGGGGAAAGGGGAAAATAGATGTCAAAAGGTGTAAAATTCTACAAAGGAGGGTCCCAATCTGGCAAACACGCACGTGCTTAACTTTACTACCATGAATAGCCCCATCAATTTCAATGGGACTACTTACAATAGTGAAGCTAAGCATGAATGTAAGTGTTGGCAGGATTGGACTTAAGTGCACAATGCCTAAAGTAGTGAGCATTCGGAGACATAATTTGATATTAGGAAGATGAAACTTGTGTCATTTGACATTAGCTGGGGACAGAGCTGGCTCCAGCTTTTTTGCTGCCCCAAGCGGTGAAGTGGGAAAAAAAAAAAAAAGAGATGAAGCCGCGATCGGCGGCACTTTGGCAGCAGCTCTACTGCTGCCGCTTCATTCTTC